CCTTTATTTTCTAGTAACATATATTGTTAAATACTCTATTTTATATGTACTTTTACAAAAGCGATATAATTAAACGTTTATTAGAAATAAATGTATAAAATAAATATTATTATAGGCATTTATTACAAACTACAGCCCTTCTTTAGAAGGAACACACCAAACTGATACTTATAAAGTACATATAATTAATAGTAACATATTTTACTATATACATACTGGAAAAGTTGTATTCTTTCTCACAAAGAGCTAAACAGACTTCACCAGGATACGACTGTTGGGCCCAGCTGCCAGGATGGACTGCCTACCCCTCGGAGACTCCCCTCCACATGACAAGTGATCTCAATGTCCCAAAACCTGTGGGACCCTTTCTACCACCCCGTTCTTTTTCTGGCATTGCATCCTCTCTTGTGATTTCCTTTCTTTAGACACAAATTACTTTTTCCCATCCACATAAACAAACTGGGCTTACACAGTAGGGAGAAAGGTTGGAGGTACCAAGCCATTGCATCTCCTCTATTTTTTACCAGCACCTAATACTTTGCTGCGTAGATTTAATGCAATTTTATCAACACATGGAATTGTTTCTTCCTCAAAACGATTATACAAATAAAGATGAGGTGGTACAAGAAGGTGCAATGGAGCTGTGTGAGTCAACTCATATTGCTGAGTTTTTCTCTCGTGTTGATACACCCTGAACTCTTAAGCTTGGTAGAAAAGATGGATACAAAGTTTTCTCCAAAGCAAAGGAGCCATAAACAGTGCTGATCAAACATCCTACTTGTACTCCTCTCTCCCTTCATTATTAGCAAGGTTGAGTAGCCAGGTCTTAGCAAAATCTCATCTTTCTCCTGCTTTTCATTCCCCAAACCCATGACACAAAGTATTTAACCAGTACCAGGAAAACAAGGGTCGGTAACAGTTTTTACTTTACTTTCGGTAATTGGCCGCTGTAATTTTTTTTTTAACTTGTAAAGATGTAACAAAAGAAATCATATGCCCTGGGGCTTTATCATGCTATATCAACTGCTCAGAGGTATAATAATCTCATTAATACCTATCAAATTGTAAACTGGCAGTTTCTCTGATGATTTATCTCCTTTCAACTCCTCCACAATCCCACCTTAATGACACACCTCACTGGATTACCGGCAAGATACACTGCGATCCCTCTGCCTTCTCGATGTCAGTCATCAGTCCTTCCTCCACTTCTTGCCTTGCCCTCAAACTGACACTCTTAACTGCATTCTGCCATCACGCAAAAGTTATGAATGTTTAGGTTTCTTTAAAGATCGCAGCTCTCATGAGAAACACCCCCCATCATGGACAGACACTTCAAGTTCTCTTTTTTACCCTTCCCAAAGTCTTGAACACGGCGACCAAGTCCCCAACTGCCAGTGGGGAAGGCAGTCTGCGCAAGGTCTGTGCTGCGGCTTCACTTCCTTCGCACACTCTGACGCAGGTGCCTAATTGTCTCGGCATTCGCCACTCTTCTCTGCCAACCAACCCACATGACTTGAGCATCACCCCACTCTTCAATGACCCATCTGAAAAAGTAGGATGGCATTGAAAGATCCTTCTTCTTCTTCACAAATGGTGTTATTTAATTTGGGGCGAAGGGCATTTGCCACTGGTAAGAACCTGATGGTTAAGGGCTCTTTGAGGGGCTAAGCTGCGAATTCTTTCAACGCTGCAAGGAGGCCGCTGTACCTCAAGACAAACCTTGTATGTAATATCTTGCTTCTAAGTGGATAAGGTAAAGTCACGTTAAGGATGTATGTGCCATCAGCAGCTTTGATGGCAAGAAAGCCTGCCTTGTTTTCGGGATCCACCTCTGATTCCCGTTGTTTCCTCAATGTGGTGGCTCCAGTTGGGATGGTGACAATGTCTGGTATCCAGGTCTGTAGAAGACAATACACATAACTCTCATTCATTGGCTAAGTAGATCACGTAGCTGAAACATGTTATTTTTTTTTATCCTTGAATGTATTTTCTCCGACCTGTTAAAATGTTCCATCTAAATCATAAGGTTCTGAGAAGATGTATGTTAATTACTTTGCACTGGTAACTGATCCTGATATTTCTTGCACGTGAGCCAATTTCCTCCACAAATACTTTATCAAACTTCTTTTTGGAGTCTATGATGCGATCGCAACCAGGCTTTTACACACTGTCCTTGCACACAGACAGAGGTAGGATTCTGGTACATGGGTACATCTATGACCTGAGCAAAACACGTTGTCTTTGTTACACATTAGCAGGGAGAAGACGATGCTATAAAGAATATTCTCTCTGCTTTCCTGCCTATGGGTAATTAAATCATACCCTCATACATGTTACACCATTTGGCTTTTTCAATAGCTGTATAGACATCTAAAAAATTGTCTTTTGTTATTTGTTTATTGATCTATCTCTCCTCTAGCACAGTCAATGAAAGCAGAGTTCTTTGTCACTTGTTACTACTGTATCCTCAGTGTCTGAATAAACATTTGGGCAGCAGTAGGTGTTCATAAATCATTTGTTGAATTTAAATCTGCAATTTAGAATATTTCATGCAAAACAGAGCTAATGACATTGATAATCTCGGGATCAAATTAATTCCATTTCTACCTTACGCCATATTTATTCCCCATGTAAAACAGCAAAGTATGTTTCCTAGTTCATAATGTCCTCAGACGTAATAATATCAATGCTCAGACTTCCCTTTTAGTAAGTCTGGTTTGCACAATGCTTAGCTGCTAGTCACTCAGTAACAAAGTACTTTGGACATGCCTTACTGCTTTCTAAAATGACTAACCAGTCTATGCTGTGTGAACACATAATTTATGTGTGAAACTTAGTTATAGGAGGAGTACTTGATTTTTCAAAGAGCTTTATCTTTTTATATTAAAGAGTAATAATAAACAATTACAAGAATCTTAAGTGTTGGATTGAGTTTATTCATTACTGAAAGCAAACCAAACTGTAAGCAAGGCAGTTGCCATGAAGACAGAAGAAAGGTATTCAAAAATTGAAACTGGGCCGGCGCGGTGGCTCACGCCTGTGATCCTAGCTCCTGGGATGGCGAGGCGGGGATTGCTCGAGGTCAGGAGTTCGAAACAGCCTGAGCAACGAGCGAGGGACCCGTCTCTACTATTAAATAGAAAGATTAATTGGCAACTATATAGTATACAAAAATAGCCGGGCATGGTGGGCGAATGCCTGTAGTCCCAGGGGCTACTCGGGAGGCTGAGGCAGGGGATTTGCTACCCAGAGTTTGAGGTTGCTATGAGCTAGGCTGACCCATGGCACCTCACTCTAGCCTGGGCAACAAAGCGAGCCCTCTGTCTCAAAAAAAACAAACAAAAAAAAACAAAATTGAAACTGAACACATGTTAATATATAAAACAAAGAAATGCAATGAAAGTGCATGATAGGTCACTAGCCAAAGCCGTTGGTTTTTAGGCAAATTAGTGTAAAAGTTAACTACCCTTGGGCTGTAAAACGAAGAAGTAAGCGATGAGTTTCTTGACAGATGAGCTTGACCTGTTTGGGTGAGACACCAGCATACTTGGGTATCCACTGCAGGCCACCCCAAAGAATTTGGAAACATGGTGCCTACATTGCCTCTCTGAAGGTTCCTGTATGTGTTATGTTATGTT